CAAAGAAATATTTAAGAACAGACAAATGACAGGCAAAAATACAAATGTAAGCGCTGTACACCATGTTACTGTTTGAGACAACTTAAAAAGCCACAACGACACTAGGGCTGCACAATTAACTGAAATCAAAAATGTGGCCAAACACAAAGCATCAGAAACACTTCAATATAATCAGGGTTCCCACTCTTAAGAAACAATTTTCCAGGATCTTTTCAGCTCATATAATGTACCAACAGGCCTAGTTTACACATTTTACCCCGTTTTGTTTCTCTTTTACTGACGTAGGTTTTCCTCAAACATAGGTCTGCATGGACGATGTGAGTGAGGGGCTAAAACACAGTTAAAAGTGTCTGGGACAGCATAGATTATTTCCAGATTATTTGCTAATTTTTTTATCAATTTCAAGGTCTTTCCATGACTAGGAAGCAAGTCTCTAAATATCCAGATTATCCAGGACATGTGGGAACCCGATAATGCCGTGCAATACATTAAAACTACTAACTAAAGCTCAAAGATGACACTCGAGTGTCAGTCCACTGTAGAGTGCTTGCAAGCCACACATCTTCTAAACTACGATAAAGACAATTCCTCTGATACTTGAGGAGTAAACTAGAAGAACGCAGGTATAGTCCTCCACAGGGAAATGTTGTTTACCACCTAAAATTGTACTTTGGGTGTAATTTGTGTCACAAAAACCATAAATGTGAGTCTTGACAGGTACACATACACATCCACCAGCCTCCCCAGTGTAACCTACGGTGTTGAACATCATTTTCACCTCTACGCTTCTTGTTTTCCAGACAGGCAAACCAATCTGTGGATCTACACAAGTGTCTCACCTTGCTGGGGTGGATGCCGACATGGACTGTGGTTCCGTTGGCCTTCTCTCTCTGCACACGCTCGATGTAGATGACGTACTTTTTCCTGTAGACCTGGACCACTTTGCCAATCTGCTGGCCTTTGTAGTGTCCGCGGACAACCTGTCAGTAAACAGGACAAGCAAGTCAAACAAATGCAGCTTTAAAAATGTATTTTTTTTTTTCACGACAGACTTTCAGCAATTTAAAATTACAATACCTGGACTTCGTCATCTTTGCGGATGGGCATGGACCTCACGTTGTACTTCTGGCGGAGCTCCTTGGACAGAGGGGAAGACATGATCTTCCTCCTGATGTGTGAGGGGGCATTGAAGTGCCTCTTGCGGTTCTTGCGGCGGGAGGATGTTACAAATGGATTCAGCTTCATGATGCTGTTTGCACACAAGAGACAAACGGGTTATTAAACAGCTGCCATGAAAAGTACATGTTCTTACAGGACAGATAAAGCTGCACTCGACTGCTTCAAACGTGAACGCCACCAGATCAGGAAAGAAAAAGCAAGATAGAAACTTAATGCTGGTGTCTTAAGGTCAGTATCAACTCACATTTAAGTGTTTAACATCTCAGTTTCTGCACAAAAACTCCCCTGAAGTCTAATATCGTGCGATTAACACTGCAATTGCTTTAAAAAAAAACCTATTTTCACAGCAACTAGCAGGTCTTCAAAGCTATATGCTAAGCTAAGAGCTAAAAATGAGGCTACCGAGTTAGCACAATATAACAAGACAGACTTCAGAGAGTGTTTTTAGTTTGTTAATACTGTCAAATGAGCTACAGGCGAAGCAGGAAACACATGAACCGTAACAATAAAGCAGAACATTAATCGCCAGCACCAATAATCAACCACACTCAAAGTGTCCAACATGCGGATACCGACGGATGTTCAGAGAGAGGAGGGAGACCAAACATTGGTTTTATTTAATCATCTATCACCCAACTCGGATCAATACTGGCCATCTTTTACGTGTGACAAGGTTTAGAAGGTGTTTGCACTGTCGTAGGGAGACACAGTGACAGTAAACGGAGGATGGATGGTGATAACTTTAGTGAAATTAGCTGCCAGGATCTCTTACCCTGCCGTCTGCTCCTCTATGGCCGGCGGAAAAGAGACTCTCAGAGCACTTCCGCTGGCATTAGTTCACACTCAAGTCTCGCGAGATCTCCACGAGAAGAGGCAACAGAAACCAAAAATAAACACAAATATCGCAGTAAACATCAATATAATTATAGTTTTAGGCCAATATCAC